TCCGTATTTCGGGCTGAAAGTCGTTGTACTCGTCTTGGACATAGTTGTAAGCGTTCGGATCTTCGTTTGAGTACTCAGTGCCTCCCTGAGCAGCTTCACGATCTTCTAACTCAGCTAGTAGGTCATCCACCGTGGCTTCAATGAGCGTCACTCTTGGTTTGTTACGGTTGTCATCGCGGCGACGGTCATCACGCCGGTTGTTGCGGGCGTACCCATCGTCGCGTCGCGTATCACGACTCTTAGAGTATTGGTCCTCACTGTCACGCTTGGCCATTCTCTCCATGCCCTTGAGAACATCTTCGATGATCTCTTCGTGCTCGTGAATGTCGGCGACTCGAGCGTGGTAGAGACTCTCCGCTAGCTTGTCATCGTCGCATGTTGCCAGGAACTGCTGTACGTGTTCTTTCTCGTCGCGACCACTCTTCTCAAAGTGTAGACGGTCGGTCCGAGCATAGCCATTCAGCCTGTTTATGTAGTCGCACAGATGTTCATTACGTTCCCGCTTGGCGGAGTAGTAACGCGACAGTGCCGTCTGCGTGAACTGCGAGCAGTAGTAGCGGATGAACGCATCGCTCAACATCTTCCACTTGCGCTTCGTCTTCTTCGGAAGTTGACGGAACCAATGAATGGCTCCGTCCCGGAGATTTAGCTCAAATGGAATGCACCATTTATCGGCATCTGTGTGGGTTCCAGTCATTTCATAGACGAACCCACGGAGCCACTGCATACAGTTCTCGCTCTTGTTGCGAGAGCCTGAGAACGGCGTGATGCGATCCAGCGGTTGGTGCGAAGCCATTTCAATCCTCGGTGTCGGGTCTACGTCGCTCAGCGTCGCTAGCTCATTCATCTGACGCATCAACTCGAGTTGAGGATCTTCCTCGTCGAATGTACGCACCAAAATGTCATCGTCACTGGACGAACCATCGCTGTCGACTTGACGACGTCCGGCACCACCTTTGGGGGCTCGCGCACCGCCTCGGCGACCAAACGAACCCTCGTTACTTGCGTAAATGCGTTGCATACGGCTCTCCGAACGTGGCGTAACCATGTGCGAGTCTTGAAAGTACGGTGAAGCTTCGGTAGTGCCAAAGGCACCACGCTCAGCTCCACGCTTGGTCGGAGGAGTACGAACGAGTCGTTGGGGCGTCGGCGGCAGTGGAATCTTAGATGGATCTTCATCTTGAATCATCGGTCGACTCACAGGCTGCTTTCCGGCATTGATGCCAACAGCGCCAAACGCCTTCCGAAGCTTCTTCTTCCATTTCTGGAGAGCAGCTCCGGCTTCATGTGGACTCCAATCCTGGAGCGACATCGTCGATGGGTACGTCTCGTTCTCGAACCCCAGCGACAACAGTAGCGAAACTGAATCCTCGGCAACTTGACTAGTCGAAACCGAGTTGACTGGGTATTGAAGTTCCTGCGCAAGCGCAGGCCAGTCGGCCTTTTTCTTGGGGATGGGCTTGAACAGCTGCATCCACTCATCATTCTGCATCAGCGCTTGTACGCGGTCGAAAACGCGCTTGGCGGCTGGTGTATCACCGTTGATAGGTGGGCGAGGTGCCTTCAGCAGTGCTGAATGCTTTGCACTCGCCACCGAAGGTTTAAAACCCTCGGTCCCATCGTCATAACCATCATAGGCCGGATCCGGTCCCGCAACATCATCGAGCTCGTCGGCGAGGTTCCTCGAAAGGGACTTGGTCGCCCCGCTCAGCCCCGATGATAGCGTGGCCGTCTCCGGCGTCGCTGCGCCTGGCTCTGGAGCCGGCGTCTTATCTTCGTAATCTTCATAATCGTGGGCGTCAGGACCGATGTCCGCTTCGTCGTCGAAGCTCACTGAAAGCTCGGTGGCGGCTGCAAAGCGCGCAGCCGGGCTTGAACTCTCGTTGCGAGTCCCGCCAGACTTGGCAGGCGTAACTGGTACCGTCGGTTGTCCTTTCGCCATGTTTCTTGTCTTTTTCTTGTTCTTCTTCTCTTGGTAGCTCGTAAACTGGAAGGCCATACAAACAGTTCACAATGGTCACAATCTGTTCCCGGGTCGCGGCACCAGTTGTGGTGTTGGAAATCCCACGTGAACTCTAGCTACAGATGTAGTTAGGATGTTCCCACAACAATACGTCTACTAGGATAGTAAACGATCGTTCGGGCGGACCTGAAGACCCCAGTTCTGCCCTTGCACCGGGACAAACTGGACCTTGTAAACTACTTATATAGGCCAACCAGTAAAATAAGAACACGCTACTAGCACGAGCAAAGCTAGCAGGTGTTTTGAATCCTCGTGGTCCCAACAGCGGAAGGGTACCAGGCACGGGTAAGCCTTTTACGAGATCACCGAGTGTTCAACACTCGGCTGGAAGAAATAAAAGGGAGGCAATTCAAGCACTCCCAGTCGTGCAAATAGGCAACAATAAGCCGTCACGTAATACCTCCCGATAATAATCGGCCAATACACAAAGTCTCTTGGCCTTGCCGGATGAACCCTCGCTACAGAGCTTCGAGTTCACCGACAGGCATAACACACTCAAACAAGCTTGACCTGACGCTTACCTTGAAGCCGGACGTCGCTCTGTGTGCTTGAGTGGAAATTCTGTTCTGTATTTAAGCTTACCCTTTCGGGTCTATTCCTAATAAGAAGTCCTAATCAAGTATACAAATATCAAGTGAACAATGATCCGTTATGGATCTTCTTGCATGCCAAGCGTCGTCTGCACTGTCGCATGAGCATCTTTAACGGTCCGCGCCCTGTCCCAGACGGTTAACGTGTCTTCCAAAGGTCGCTGAGTATTCTGCGAACTCATCCCAACCGCCACTGAGGGTTCGTACCGTAGATGGTCCGCTGAATGCGAATCCGGCCAGTCCATTATTAATAATAAGGACAGCCTGGATTCAGTGACATATGCCCGTATCCAATACTCGTTGAACGTTCGGAGGTGACGCCGTCGAGTCCCTTGCACCTTGGCGTCTCCGTACATCACCTGACCGAGGGTTCGTCGCTTGAACAACTTGGGCGGTGTCACGTCTTTGTCGACGGGTGATAATCCGCAACCACGGAGAAATCACTACACCACAGACGCTTCCCTTGAAGCCGGACGTCGCTCTGTGTGCTTGAGTGGAAATTCTGTTCTGTATTTAAGCTTACCCTTTCGGGTCTATTCCTAATAAGAAGTCCTAATCAAGTATACAAATATCAAGTGAACAATGATCCGTTATGGATCTTCTTGCACGCCAAGCGTCGTCTGCACCGTCGCATGAGTATCTTTAACGGTCCACGCCCTGTCCCAGACGGTGAACATGCCTTCCAAGGGTCGCTGAGTCTTCCTCGAACTCATCCCAACCGCCACTGAGGGTTCGTACCGTAGATGGTCCGCTGAATGCGAATCCGGCCAGTCCATTATTAATAATAAGGACAGCCTGGATTCAGTGACATATGGACCGTATCCAATACTCGTTGAAAGTTCGAAAGTGACGCCGTCGAGTCCCTTGCACCTTGGCGTCTCCGTACATCACATGACCGAGGGTTCGTCGCTTGAACATCTTGGGCGGTGTCACGTCTTTGTCGACGAGTGATAATCCGCAACTACGGAGAAATCACTACACCACATGAGTCTCCTTCTCCTCGCGGAGTGGAAACTTAGAGGCTGTACGCTTCTTTGAGGGCTTGGCGCCTTCGGCTTTAGAGGCCTTAGCACGCGCAAGACCCTCGGCAAGCGAGAGACGTTTGCGAGGATTCTCTTCCTCATCGCCACCAGCTTTGGGAGTGCCCTTAGCCTTGACGGCCGGACTCTCAGAGCGCACAGACGTCCTGGGACTGTGATCACCTTGATCACTAGCGAGCGACTGCACGCTGTCATCCTTGTGCTCACTGGGCACTGGGTTGTGCCCTCCCACAGAGCCCGCACGAGCATCGTGCGTGCTCTCGGACTCAGCTTCGTCCTCACTGCCAGAGTTGAACTCACGTTCCACGAACCGAGGGTTCGGACGATTGTCTGAGGCCGAGGGCGACGGACTGCGGCGCTTGCTTGCTCGCTTGCCCACAGCCGCGTCACCCGAGGAACCGATCGCCTCGGAGGCCACCTGAGTAGCCTCCTGAGTGCCAAGCCTTTGCCGTGAGGCTTAGTGCTCTTGGCTTGCGCCTTACCGGCCGCAGCCTTGGAGCGTGTCTTAGCACCGCTCTTTGCTGTGCCACGAGGCATGGTAACGGTCGAAGTGGAGACCTAGACGAAGAGCGCACAGATTGCTGCTCGAGGCTCTAACTGAGGAGTGAGCCTCCGCCGCGCTCGCGCGGCCAAGTCGATGGTTTTCGACTTTGAGAATGAGAGTTTGTGACGAACACCTCTTCATCCTGATTGGTCGGTAAACCGAACCTAAGTGGGGGAGGATGTAACGGGGTACGTAGCCCTAAGTGTACCCTGGTTACATGAAGTGTGACACTTCACACTTCAGGAGTATGACACGTCATACTTCGGGATATTTGGTACAAAGTACCAAGGTCGTTCAAAGCCAACCATTGGTTAACGACATTGCATTTCTATAGGTGACTTGTAGTTTGTATTAGACCCAAACTTTATCAACCTATAAATAAACTCAGTTTACATTCTACCTTAATTAGGTCACTTCGCTCTCTTTTAACTAAAGAGGGGACCTGTGAACTGCCGTTCACTGAGAGTTTGTATTCTCTCGGAAGATAACTTCCTCGTCACAGACTGGCTCCGAGAGCACCTGGTACCGTGTACCAGGTGTCCACAAGAGTGACGGGTCACTCTTTATGTAACCTGGGGCACACTGGATTGTACCCCGTTACATTTTGTGACCATGGAGGCAAAGATGTGCCTTTCATCTATCCAAAGCTGGTGTCCTACTACGTAGTGGCAGCTTCAAAACGGCATCAAATAGATAAGCCATATCTGAAGTCATTTTTATCCCTGAAAAAAAGACGTTATGTTTACCACATAATCACAGATTTTTGTCCTAATGTTAGCCTGTATAAATTAATAATGATACAGCTAGCTCGCCCACATACCTGCTGAGGGCGCTGGCGGAGGCTGCAGTGGCAGTGCAGCCGCCGAGAAGAGCGATATCTGCTGCAAATGGTTCGCGGAGTTGCGGCGAGCGTGACATAATTGCTTGATCGAAGTTTGTAGATCGTCTTCTTCTGCGCGGGCTTGGGCTAGCGCCAGCTTCAGCTCAACGCACCGGCGCTCGGCTCTGCGTATGGCGTGTCGTCGTTCGTCTCGCTCCGCCTTGGCCACTGCAGCTGCTACTTTCGAGTCTGCCAGCTCCTTCTGGAGCCGCTGAACATCCTTTTCAGTGTACTTTGGCGACGAAGCAGCTGTCGGGGATTCGTTGCCGCTGGTATTGCCGCTCTCGTCGCTGCTTCGGCGGAGCAGAAACTTGCGAAGAGCTGAGGCAACACGTGCCTTCCTCTGCTCTTCTTCCTGCTGCTGTCGCCGCTGTTGCTGTTTTGCCTTGAAAAACTCGGCGTCTTGAATCTGTTTTTCAGTAGTGTACGTCTCCGCGATGGCCAGATCGCGGTCCTGCAGAAGCTTAATGATCCTTCTCTCCAGAAGTGCAATAAACTCGCGGTTTTCATCGCAGTCGTCCTGTAAGGCTAGCAGCTTGATGTCGAGCATACACCATTCTCTTCGTGCACAAGAAAGCTGATCCCAAACTGTTTCCAGCTCACCTTCAGCCTCAACTAGCGTGAGCCGTGCTTTGAAGGCGTCTTCAAACAGCTGTCGGTCCTCTTGTCGTGTCGACTCAGAGTGTTTAGCGTTAGTCTCGTCTTCTATATCGTCGCCCACCTCACTAGCGGCTTTGAAGCTGGAGAAAAAATGTTCAGGAAGAGAAGTCAACTCGTCCGCTGAAGTGGAGAGCAGCCATCGCACAAATGGCTCGTACGCGGCGAGCGCATCTGTCGGCGCTTCAGATATCATCCCTACGTCGGCAATCAGTTCCTCAGTCAACACCGTGGAAGGCATCCTTGTATCAGCAACCTCCTCTAAATGTCCATGCGTTTTTGGTGCTCGCTAAAAAACTGTCGCTGCTCCTTCAAAATAGGTTTCAGACAGCTTCTAGTCTCGGACCGAGACCCTGAGACTCTCGGTGCACACAGAAGAGATACAAAACATGAGCACAAGATGCCGAAGGCTTTGTATATTGTCGTCCTCTAGCTCGAGTTGTGAACGCTAAAGCGACGTAACGATTCTCGCTCTCGTTCGCCAGTCTCATCACTATTGCTATTGTCGGTCAGTTCGTTCTCTACTGCGTTACTTTCTCCATCCAGCCTCATCTCCTTATTAGCGTCCTCTCCTTCGACACTGTCGTCTAACAGAGTGCCGTGAAATTGGCGAAGTAGCTCTTGAATCGCCATCGCTTCATCCCCACGCCCCAAGTGTTTATACGCATTAAGGACTGTCCGCAGCATAAACTGCCGCTTCAAAATCCGTTTTTTCTTGCCGTCAAGCGACGAGAAATCCTCGAAAAGCATGACTACTTCCTCGTATCGATGAAGGCGGAAATTGGCTGCCATTCCAATCTCGGTCACTGCGATACCCAAAGGAATGTGCTTGTTCAGACGGAGTGCACGTACCATAACAGATACGCGCTCCAGATCTTTAATGAGACCCAATCGATAGTAGTAGACCACCACCTGCTCCAAAGCTGCATATTTGATTGGCATGTCACTTTCCAACGCGTACACACAGAGATCATCCACTAAATCAGCACGATTTGCACGAACACCAGCGACAATAGCTTCACATAAAGTGAATACATTCCACTCTAGCGAACGTGGGAACCGAGAGAAAAAGTTGCGTAGATCGTCCGCAGACTCCACCCGAATTTGACCTCGTTCGTCTTCTACGTGTTTGTCTTCCTCCTCACCGTCGACGCAATTTAAAGGCAACGGTTCAAGCATCAGCGTACGCACCAGCGGGTAGATCGCGTGGTGGTTAACGGAAATGTTGTGCTGGTTCATAATCTCCAAGATCTCACACGCCACGTCAAGCCGTTTGTCGCGAGTGCCGACAGTAGCCAGCGCCACTCGCTTCCTGAAAAGGTACTTTGACACTCGCCCCTTGAGATTGAAACTTGCTTCTGTCGACGTCATCAAATTGCGATAAACCTCCATTAACATCTCGTCTTCGCCCAAATGGTTGAGCTGCTGTAAACAGATCTCAAAACGAAACTCGGTGAAGATCGACATGGGCATGTCTGGCGGGTGACTATAAAACATCATTGCCCGTTTGGATTCGCCACAAGCAGCAGCCGTCATCATAACCATCGGCAGAAGCGACAAGGGGACGATCTCGCCAGGCAGTTTCGTGATCATCGCCTCGCAGATCTGCATCACACTCTCAAAATCGGTGAATGATTGATCATGCAGCAGAGCATTCAGTGCATGAAAGTACGATACTTTCGTCACATGAACACCATGGCGCTGCATCGTATCTAGCAGTCGCAGCGCTCCGTCAGCGTCGCGAAGATGTCCAAGCGCAACAAAAATGGACTGAGCCAATCGCGGTGTCAAGAGGTAGAGGCTACAAGAGGTTTGTGCCTCCTTTTCATCGTCACTGTAGCAGTTGGAGAATATATCAACGACGTCGTGGAATCGCTGTTGGCTGTTTAAAGCCCAGGCGTAGTGCTCGCAGATGACGGACCAGTGCTTGCGTTGGCCTGCAAAGTGCGGGAACTCCTCTTCCCACACAAACACCACTGCTTCCACTTGTGCGTAATCCCGCCGTTGGCGCATGGCGTACAGCAAGCGGTCCAACTTGCCCGTTGCAGCTTTAAGCTGCCTCCTGGCTCGCTGGTAGCTCGTCTCTCTGGCAACCGCTACACGGGGATCTGCTAAATCTCTTGCCATTTTGTGTAAACTGTTTCTAGCTCTCGCGACATCTTTCGGAACAGGCGATTTGCTGGCGATAAGCGAGGGGAATTCCCCAACATTCGCCTGTGCATGCAGTATCACCTTCTGCTCCTTCATCACGTGCTGCTCCACCAACCTTTCCGTCTCCTTCCTCTTGGCTCCTGCATCAAACGTCGCATCGCCACCACCGCTGGCGTGCAGCTGCAGTTGCAAGTGGGTGTTAAGACTCTGGGGCTTGGCACCTGATGATCTTCTTTCACCGCGGACCGACGGCCGCTTGTCTGACGCTGCGTCATCGTCGACGTCTTTCTCGCGGCTTCGCACAGTATCCTGAAGCTTCATTGGCCGCGACAAACGCCGGGCCGTCGCCAGAGAGCGCAACCATGACGAGCGCCGCCGCGCCACCCTCAGCCAGCATAGCGTTTCCAGCTACTGGTGTCACACACCAGTGGTGTGTGGCCAGTGTTAAGCGAACGTGGTGTACACGACTTAGACATCATCTTTCAAGTGCGTTAAGTTTCCACCAACCACGTAGCACCATAATTAGGGGCTGCGAACAAAGGCTTTTCACGATGACTATTAAAATGCTCATGGCGCGATCGCGCAGTGTAGCGCTGTTAGTGCGGACGCTGCGATGCCCATCAATGATACCCACTGGCTCAACCTTCTTGAAAGCGTCATGGAGTGTGATAGGCTCGCAGACTCCGCACCGAAACTCGTCCTTCGTACCGCAGGGCATCATGGGTGGACAGAAGCAGTCCAAGAGGAGACCGTCATTCGCCATCGCCGCCGCCTTCGAGGGGTACGAGGATCTGGAAGATGATGAGGGCCCTATTCATATGTATGGACATGAAAAGGAGCCGGAAGACCCGGAAGAGGAGCGTGCGCGTGCTCTCAAGGAGCAATTCAAACGTGGCATGGAGAAGAAAAAGCTCTGGATGCAGTCACTGGCGACGCAGAACCTTCACGCAGCCGTCGTCAAGAGTGTGGCTGACTGCTACGCACCGCTTTACACAGCAATGGGGCTGGAAGGAAAGTGTCCACTGTTGGCGGTGGCCAAGGACGAGGCCAAGGGGGAAAATGAGCTGGAGACGCAATACCAGCCGCTGCGCTTCGACGATATGCTTACCAAAGCCACGGAGCAAGAGGCTCTGCCGCTCCTAGTCATTGCCAAACGGCCCATGCTGGCGCTTACTATCGTGGAGCACCGGAACAAGCTCTCTGAAGAAATAGCGAGACGCTCGAAAGCAGGAACCGGCGTCGTGCTACCAGGGGCACACACGATGGAGGACGAGAATGTGGTATCATTAGGTAGCCACCTCCGTATGTTCTACTCGTGGGCGACGAGTGTTTATGCCATGTGTGGATCAAATTACTACTCGAAACTGTTTGACATCTACAAGCGCGCGCAAGACGCTGGAGTGTACGTGACGGCAAATATGAACGTCCAGTGCTTAACGGCATTGATCGCGGAAAGACGGTTCGACGAAGTGTTTGAGTTTTACGAGGCAGTGACTCGGGAGAATCTCCCTACGTCTGTCTTCTTCTACAGACAACTGCTGTTTGCAGTGTCTACAACTCGCAAAGTAGAGCGTCTGGACGCGATTCTTGAAGATATGCGTGTCAAGGGCTTCAGACTCCGTGCCGACGACTTTTTGCGTGCCATTCGCGCGTATGATGACGAGTATTTCCTTATGGAGGTGAAGCGAAAGGATAGACTTCGGTCGAACGAACGAAACCGTGACGAACGCAAGACAGAGAAAGTAGAGACCGTGTTGACGACACCCAGAGATTCGTACGACGGATGCTTAAAGCGAATTCAAGAGCAGGAGGATCACCCAGACCGCTTTGAGAAGATCGCCGAGGCCGCCCATAGCGTGTTAACGCTTTTCGATACAATGGTGGACATTGATGGCCTGGCCCCAAGGCACGAGCACCTATTCCCACGTGTGATCACAGCAGCGGTATACGCGCAGGAATGCGAGCGCGTTCCTGAACTCTTGGCTCTGCACGCGGAACATGCTGACAAACCTCTCCACTATGCAGGTGTCCTCATGGCTGTCAATGCGCTCTTGCTGCTCGATAAGCCCACCGAGGCGTGGGGTCTAATCCGCGAGACAAATCCACAGCTTGAGCCTCATCGCTATGCGTTGGTGACCAACATTCTCGACTATCTGTGCTTGAAGAAACGCGGTGCAGACATTATCACGCTGATGCACGCTGTGGATAAACTGGAAGTGCGGGGCGTGTTCACCGTTGCCTTGATAAAAAGATTGGTGCCTACACTTTGTCGCAGTATCGACACTGTCAGTGACGAGAAGTTACTGGCGACGATGACGCACTTTAAAGACGTCTTCAGGCTGTCCAGTGAACCTCAATTCGGTGTATTTCTTCGTAGATGCTGCCACTACGGACGTCTGGAGGTCGTAAAAACTGCTCTCAAGCAGTGGTTGGATACCTCCAGCAAAAATAAGCGTCCTTTAAACGGACCTCTAGGTCTTCGGCTCCTGGAGGCGTTCGAGGGCGAGTCTGACTGGGCATTCATGGCTGAAGTGTTCGAAATGATCGATTTCTCGTTTGCACGAGACGAATGTGGCCGCAAGGCAATCGTGGCATCTGTTTCGCGCGCCTATAAAGCGCTTGGTCAACCGGAACGTGCAAAGCGAGCCGAGAAATTATTGACCGTAGCCGCCGAAAGGCGTCAGAAACAATGGCGTCAACGCAAGTCGATGAAGCAGGAGGGGCGGAACTTCGAGTCGAGACGTACTCGTAGAGTGTCAGAAACACGAACTGCTTCCGTTTCCTCAGCACCCATGATGATCAACGGTATCCCTGTCATCTCCTCGTCGTCGTAGATTGAATATTTCGAGTAACACGATAATGCAGAATCGAGCCATGGTTGATGTAGATGGTTGAATTTTTATCGATTAAAGCGAACACTCGAAGGAACTGTATAGCTCCAATGAAGTTGCTTGAACGTGTCCCACAATGGGAGAATAACAACGTGACAGAAGTAAAGTTGAAGCGGGCCATTTATCTCGTCCGGCCGTGGGGTGAGTCGTATGCAGGGGCGCCGAAAAACTACATGTAGAGTCGTTATGCAACGATGAGTCCGGGGGATAGCGGGGGGGGGGAGGGGTCGTGCGGATTAGATGCAGTTCATTGAAATGATACGTCGTACTTAACCGCTTGTCACTCCGTAGTCGCATGTGGCCCCGTACGATATTATGGTTTGATAGGCTTCCGTTGCTCCGAACTACTGGTCGGCGCCCGTGCAGGATCTCTCAATGGTGAAGATCCTGACGCGCGCACTGATGTGACCCCCCCCCCTAAGATGAATAAAAGTTGTTTTGTTTTTTAATATTCTATGTAATAGGATCGAAAAGGCTTTTAGTATTAGCCTCATAATAAAAGCCAGCAATGGAGAAGATTGGTGGATCGAGATGTCAGATACTGTCCCGTACCCGGGAACGAGGGGGGCATTCCAGGCGTCTGGTGGCAAGCTAGGATGACCCGAGGTCTCGTGGCAACTCCTCGCCCAGCCGTCGCGTCAGGTTGGACGCGGCGACTTGCGTGACCCTGTAACGGGGTACGTAGCCCTAAGTGTACCCCTAGTTACATGACGTGTGACACGTCATACTTCGGGATATTTGGTACAAGGTACCAAGGTCGGCCAAAGCCAACCATTGCCTGATGACATTGCTTTTCTATAGGTGCCTTATAGTTTGTATTTAACTCAAGCTTTATATACCTATAAATATACTCAGTTTACATTCTACCTTTAATTGGTCACTTCGCTCCCTTTCGGTAAAAGGGGACTTGTGAACTGCCGTTCACTGAGAGTTTGTATACTCTCGGAAGTCAACTTCCTCTAGCGCAAGGTGCTGTGTGACCCCTTCACACTTGGTAGCACTTGTTGGCCAATCCACGCCATCGCGGGTAGACTACCTGACCCTCTCCGAAGTTCGTTGCCATGGATAGGAACGACTTCTTCCATATGAACGACACACAGCTCGAGTCGGTTCGGAAGATGGCAGGCATCTTCGGGATGGAGGCCCTGCAGAGCCTGGTGGTGTCAACACCGGCCGAGCAGCTCGAGCGCGTCAATGCGTTTGACGCCTACGAGCAGGGGCTCATCGCGCATGTGCGAGAGAACCTGCAGGCTCCGGCGGCGGAAGCAAATCCGCCACACCCGAAGCCAATACGGCTGAAGGTTAAGCCGTATGAAGGGAAGGAAGGTGAAAACGCTCACTTCTGGGTCCGAGAGGTAGAGCTCGCGATGGACGCGGCTCCGATCTCGACCGCGCAGCTTCGTGTTGCTTTTGCACTCTCCAACCTTAGCGGTCGTGCTAAGAGTTGGGTGTACACGCGGGAGGCGACATTCCCTGGATGTTTCATATCCTGGGCTCAGCTGTGTGAACTGCTCCGAGCCGCGTTCCTCCTGGCGAACTACGAGTACCGCCAGCGCTCGCGCTTCCTCTTGTGCAAACAAGGAAGGCGTGAGCTGCACAAGTACGTTCAAGAGATACGGGAGCTCACGGCGTCCCTAGTGGGAAATCCACTCAACGAACACATCACGGGGACTGTGCTCATGAACGGCCTTCGAGTGGGTCCAGCGCGCACTCAGCTGTTCCGGGTGCAGTCAAGCACCCTTGAAGAGGCGACACAAGTGGCTCTTCAGGAAGAATACAGCCATCGCCAGGCGCGTACGCCGGGCCTCAGCATGACCTGGGAGTTCTTTGTCGACTCCCGGTCGAGTGAGCCCCAACGGACCAGTTCCCATGGAACTCGGGTCCGCCGAGCAGCGCGACATCCGCTGCTTCGGCTGCGGGAAGATGGGCCACTTTAAGCGCGACTGCCCCATGGAGAGACTACGCAGACGGGCTTTCCCCAAGACCGTCCTCAAGGGTCGCTGGCAGAAGCCAGGATCCCAGGGCCAGGGGGACGCCGGAAACCAGTAGGCGCGGGGCGCCCTACTGGGGAAGAGCTAAGTCTTCGTGAAGGGTGCGCGGGTGGCGCGTACCACGGGGTTTAGCCCCTGAGAGTCTTTGCACTCTCGAATCGGCGAAGAGCAACAGCGGGCTGCTCGTAGTACACGGATGTGTACGGGGATACGATATCCCTTTATAATCTTGATCTATTCTGGGGCGTCGAAGAATTTCGCACGCCGCCAGACAGTTGCTCGTAATAGCAACAAGTTGTCCGATGCTTTGAGAGAAAGCAAGGACAACGGGACGGTGTCAGTGCGACTGGCCGACGGGAAGGTCGTCACTGTCCCCAACGTCCAAGTGGATTTGGCCGTCAAGTTTGAAGACTTGACAGCCTCGAACAGCTCACTGTTCTCGACATGGATCCATACGATATGATCCTGGGCATGCCCTGGCTTGAGGAGCACGAGCCCTGGATCGACTGGCGAGGCAAGGCAATCGGTTCCAGCCGCCCTGCGAAGTCCGACAGAGCATTGGCGAGTCATGTTCGCACCTCTGTCAGGTCCCGGGGCGCCCGCAAGGGTTGCCAGGGTACCAAACCATCCGGCAGATGTTTGGGAATCGTCGACGTATATGACGACTTCGAGGATGCTTTGATGGTTGCAGCACCCAGAGGAGGCGCTGACCAAGTGGGTAACTTAGGTCCACAAGAA